CACAAAGTCTATATATATATATATATATATTAAGTAGTATTTTAAAAAAATATAATTGACTACATGGCTACAAAGATTTATAACCAATTAAAATATTAATTAAGAAAATAGAATAAAAATTATTAAATTAGATTCAAATGATGTTTTAATATAAATAATAATTTTTAAATCTTGCTCAAACTCTTATTGTCTTATGTCTATATGATTAAGGTTGTTAAAAGAACTCTTTGTTCGTGAACAGCGCGTGTTCGGCTCGTTAAGCAAACGCGCCGAACCCGGCACCCGAACATAAACACACTTTTTGAGCTCGAAATATAAACACGCTGAACACGAGCTGAGCATGGCTCGCTCGTGTTTGGGTCGTTTACACCCCTAGACATATATACCACACAATTCTTATATATTTACATCCCTAACGCCTAAACATTCATCTTAACATGCAAGGCACCAAGGCGTTCAAGCAGAATTACCGAATTTTGGGTGCCAGATGTGTAAATACATAAAACCTGCGTTGTATGGATGTATATGTATATAGATATATATAGAGGCATTTACATATCCAACGCCTGAATTTTAATTTTTTTTACATTTATACCACCCAAATCTTTCATATCACATAAAAAATACCAACATTTTAACTTCTAACAAATGAAATACACCTTTTCATGCATAGGTAAGGTTGGATATGTAATTGCCCACGAATTGTGTGGCATGTATGTAAATCTTCCAAGTATTTGTATGATAATTGGAGCAGCTTAGACTTTCAAATCAACGACTATTTTAAGTGAATCATGTGAAAATATTATGGTTAAATTCTTTTAATGATATTTGGTTGTCGGCTTGCAATTAGAACCCTATTTCTATAGTTGCTGCAAATCAAATGAATGAGTCTTCATCAGTTGCCAGATTTGAATTGCAAGCAAATACAATGTATATTGATAGGGATTATCAAATCAGAGCAGTACGCAATATAAGCATCATATTTTCACAAAAAAAGGTGCCAGAAAAACATACAGTTTAATGTAAGAAATTTATCATTCATGTCACACATAAATATATACTAACAGTACTACAATTTTATGTATTTACAAACATACAACCCAATTCCTACGTATTTACATATCAAACATCTAATTTTTATTTATTTTTTTATATATTTATACCACCCAAATATGTCATATCACATAAAAAAATATCACTATTTTAACTTTTGAAAGTTCAAATAAAGCTATTCATATGTAAAAATTCAAGTTTAGGTGTTAGATGTGTAAATACATAGGAATGAAGTGGTATGCGTGAATTTTCCTTTTGTTTATTGATTGACAGATCTACATAACCATGCCATCTTGATCAAACTCTCAATCCTACAAGATTATTTATGAAAAAAAAAAGACAAAAATATTTAAATTTTGATTCATGATGCAACTAATACAATCAGAAATTATACAGAAGCAGAAGATCTAAAGATTACAGTGAGAGCAAATGAGCCAAAGGAGTGAGATAACATACAGCTACTTTTTAACGGAAAAATTTTAATCAACTATGAATTCCGAACAGGAACTGTAGCAGTTTTTTCAGTAAAAAGTTTAGATTTCATACCTTCTTCTCCAGATTCTGGATCACAGCTCATGCTTAGAAGAGCTTGAGCAGATTCCGATCCCTTCTCACTTCCAAGTTCTGAACCCTTTTTAATTTCTGGTGGAGAATTGATTGAGAGTTTTTTATCTACCATTGATTCAGACTGATCCAAAGTTTCTGCGGGGGTGGCTGAGGATGCGGAATCAATGAAAAGAGTTGTTGTAACTGGTGGATCAATGGGGCTTTGAAGAGTTGGTACGTCGTGATTGTGTTTGCCTTCGTACGTAATCACGATGGATTTCGCGTCATCCGAAGATTTTTCGACGTGTTTACGAACACGGCAGCCATCATGTGTGCAACGGTAGTAACTCCTGGAGGGCAAAAATGTAATAATTAAGTTAAAAGGAATGCAAAGGAAGTAAGAGTTAGATAGAATGTATAACAAATAGTTTCTTCAAATTAGATGGAGATTAATATGAAATTTTAAGCAAAATAAAAAGTAGAGCAAGGAAGGGTCTGTTTGGGGCAGCTGCAGCTTATTAAATAATCTGCTAATAAACTGATTAAAAATAATCAGCTGATAAGCTAGGTACGGTGGTTATTACAATTTTTTATTTTTTTGGAAAAACCAAACCGCTGCAAGAAAACTGCCACCAAAACTAGATAGGTGTGGTGAGAAAACACTGTTTTCAGCGTTTTGAAAGCGGATAAGCTGCCAAAAAACAGTTTACCCAAACAAGTCAGATGCTTTCAAAATGTCACTACATTAAATAAGCTGCCCCAAACGAACCCTAAGTAGCTTTTTCAGTTGAGCGCCTATCTCATGTTGCAATCCCTAGAATGAGTTAAATTGGAATTTTAGGTCCCGTTTGACATCACTTTTGTTCGAGTTTTTGTTTATATGTTTTCTTTAGTTTTTAAAAATATGTTTGATTGGTATGATTTTTTTCTATTTTTATCTTTTTTTAAAAAAAATCAAATCAACTTATGTTAAAAATACTCACTCAAAACACCTGACAAATATTTTGGGTGTTCTTAAAATAAACTACAAAATAAAGTAAAAATAAATAATAAAGTGATCCAAACGACCCCAGGTAACATTTGGGATCACTTTTAGTTTTTGTTTTTTTTTTTTATTTATGTTTTTTTTACTCAGAAACATGTTTGGTATGTTATAATATGGTTAGTTGTTTTTTAAAAACTCTCAAAATAATTTTTACATATTTTAAGTGTTTTAAATGCAAGTTAATTTGTTTTTAAAAATACAAATTAAAAGCATACAAAAAAAAACTAAACAAACATGATTTTAAAATAATAACAAAAAACAAAAAATAAAAGTGATCCCAAATAAACACTCAGTGATTCATAAAGCAGAGAAGAGCACTTATAATGTTGAAGCTTGAGGCACCAACTTTATGAGAGAATATTATGTTTCTTCATAAAAGTGTAAAAAAAAGAACAGTAAACACTTGTAGGCCAACAGGACTAGAGCTTGCAAACGCTGCAAGCTATAGAGCATAGCCCAAAACAAGCAACCTTATGAAGATTCCCTAAGTTTAAAATACTGTACTGGCTAGTTTTCAAATCATATCTTGAGTTTACAAAATTGCCCACATAAAGCACATAAAAATAAGTTTTAACCTCTTGCGTGTCCCAACAGACAAAGCAACCCATAATTTGACTAATTAATTTCTTTGTAAACAGGTTTTGCTTGTTAAAAGGAGAAAAATAACTTAAAGCGGACACCTCGCGAGGTTTGAGAACAATCTGGCTCGGTTTTAACAAAGCATGCCACAAAAAAAGTTAATGAACTTCATTAATGAATGAGACTAAATTGAAATCCCTAAAAAGGAGAAAATATAAAAGAATGAGGATGAGAAACCATTAATAGATGATGAGCTTGTCGTTCCCCGTTAGTTATCATTAGATGCATGTCTGCTAAAATAACTAATTCTAGTGATCGGAGAAGAAAAAATAATTTTCAAATGTATGTCATCAAATGTTAGACTGATCACAGATGGTGTCCCATCTACTTCATACCATCTTAGGTGATGAAGTTCAAAGCATGAAATACAGTGTAATGTCATCCTCATGGACTACGTAATTTCATGGAAGAACATAATTGTTTGATATGAATCTTGGCTATTGTGATAGGACAGCATATATGTATTCCCATTCTAGTCAGAAGAAAATGGAATCCACTAAACTCCACACAAGACTTGCTTTGACTCTCTCTAGTAATAACTAGGTTGTACCAGTTCACTTATAGTGATTGCTTGTATATTACCCATCCATTTTAGATATCTGCACTAATATCACTATTTATGTTAAAATTCCCGATACATCTAACCTAATAGTTTGTAACCACTTGGCACACACCAACACGATATAGTTAATAAGCCTATCTCAATAAAGATGATTTTTTTGTGTGTCCATAACCCATTATGGAAAAATAAGATCACTAGTATTTAACTTCTTGTACTCTACTAACCGTATCATAGATGGATTATTTTTTAGACCACCTGATCTAGTTGAGCTGCATCATTGTTCTTTATATACTTTAACATTAATATTAGCATTATACTAGCGGGTTACTTTCCCAGCTTTCATGCATCTATGTTACATTAACAGTCTGTTTTGGACAACTTTTTGTCTGCTTTGCATTTCAGACCGCCACCATAACTTTATTGGGGTACTGCTTCTTATTGATTTCTAGAAATTTCTATGGTGAAATTTTTTTTTTTACATTATCTGTTAAAGAGCGGTGGCTGTAAAATAAATGTTGTTTGATTTTTTGGAATATATATATATATATAATTCCCACCACAGTTATTTTTTCCACCACAATTTTACAACGACGTTCTCAAAATGCAGCAGCCCACCCCTAAATAATGATGAATATATTAAAACTGTATATCAAAATTATCCAGCATTTGAGTATAATTATAGTGCCTATACTTTATTTCATGTTCACGTTCACTAAAAAAAGTAATTAACCATTATATATTGGTACCGAGTTTGCCTCGTCATGTTTTATAATCCTCTTTTCTTTGCAGTGATATTTTACCAATTGAAATTATGAAGCAATGGAATTGACAAAAGAGGAAACAAAGATCACCATAGCAAGCGCTTAATATACAGGTTTATCTACACTAACAAACACTCACCACCCTTGCATGCCCGATGGAATTGGAAGATGATATTTATGGCTATTTTGATCAGCTACAACAATTAAACTTCATAGAGTAAAATTTTGATAGGATTATCCATAAAATTAGAACAAAACAAATATTTTATTTCTCTAAAACAAACAATACAACCATGAACATATAAAATAAAGGATAAAACCAACTGTTTAAGAGGTATGCAATCTCAATCAAATCCTACAATTCGAGAGGTAGAAAATCTCTCCCAAACCCTAACCCTAAAACTCACAACCACAATCTCATCCATCACCCTAACCCTAAACTATAACCCTAACCCTAAACATAGTAGCCCTATTTATACTAAGAGTGACGATAATAAAAGACTAAATTGATAGACTAATAAAAGATAAAACCGCCCTCGGACACCAGCGTAACATTACTCCCCTATACAAAATATACCTTATCCTCGAGATGAAAAAAATTCTTGTTGCATAAGGTCGTATGGCTCCCACGAGACGTCATAATCTAACAATCATTCTCATTGAATCAAAGACTCATAGTGACCCTTACCATATCGTCTTGTGCACATCCTTCGGCGGCATCCAAATCTGATAGTATCCTAATTTCTAGTCAATCTAAGAGAATATTGCAACCCCAAACAGCTCATCCAGTAGCTCGTCAAACACCATAATCTATGTCAATTGTGCACCATGTATTCCTTCAATGTTATGCCACTTGATCAAGAATCCTAACCCTGCATCCTGAATCACTCTCATCATAGATTTAACGTCACCAACATCTTACACAAATTGGGGTCACCATGAAGCACCATCTTATCTCGCTCTTAGATACGTTGCAGTATCCAAATCAGTCATTACAAAATCACCCGCTCTTCTCCATCTATCTCATTCCCATCATTACTTCTGAATCGTCTTCCGCCCGTGATACCAAAACCATGAAGAGAAAAGCAATGAAATACTCAAAACAAACATTTATTAATGCAGAGAGAGTTTTGCAACAAAACACAATGAAAAATAACAATACAAAACAAAAACGATGTAGACAAATGCGTCTAAGGTGTATTCCAAGGGTGGCAGAGGTTGGTTAGGTAGTTCAGGATGGTTGGCAAGGGCGGTGGCAGCAATAGAGTGTTGATGGTGCGAGGACGAATGACAGGTGGATTGGTGGTTGGAAGGTGCTGGACAACAAGGGCATCAAAAGCGGGGTGAGGCGCTGTCGATTGGGAGTGCTGGGAAGGATGGAAGAGATGTTGGTTGAGAGGGTAGAGGGTCAGACAACAACAAGGGCTGCTGTATGGGAGTCAGCTGGCTGTCGGGATGGACCTGAAAGGCTGGACAACATGTTGCTGCAGCAAGAAGAGGGGAAAGTTGTTGGGGTGGTCGACAACTAAGGGAAATGGAGAAGAGTTAGGAAAGATATAATCGCCACCTTGGAGTAGGATACAACTAGAGTAGTACCATCTCCTCGGATACAATCCCATAAAAGGGAAAATGAATCCACACAAGAAATCTGAAAGCAAACACAATGAAAGACCTCTAAACTCATAGCAAACCAGCATACATATAGTCCTAGCTAGGCGGGAAACAAGAAAAGAAAGAAGAGAAAGGAAAGAGGAGGAGGCAGCAGGTAATGCTCAAACCTAGCGGGAGGAAGGACCCCTAAGGCTGCTCTCCTCCAAATACAACTCGATCCACACTGCCCCTGGATCTGTCTCCCCATCAGATGCCTTAGATCGGCTCCCCTATGCCAGTCGGTTCAGCCGGTAGGCCTATTTCCCGCCTCCATAAAGAAAACTCACGCACTCCCGTTAGCCCGGAAAGCTGTTGTAGAAAAGACATTGGCACAGTTGAAGGCAACCCTCCTTCGGAGTCGCACGAAGTGTGCTTCCCTATCCTACGTTGAAATTCTTGGAAGCAATCTTCCCCAACTTTGAATCACACGTCATCTCGTCTGCTTGTTGTCGCTCGTTCCAAACCTCATAATGTTGTGCAATACCCTCCAGAGGTTGTTGCTCGAATACGTTCCACACTCCTTCGTTTGATCATGTTCGCTTCCGTTTGTTTGAGCAGCCAAAAATCACGCTATTTCTTCCAAGTGTTGCTACTCGAGTTTGTTGCTGATTCTTTCGCTCAATATCATAGCTCACAGTCTTCTTAAGGAGCGATGTTGCCCTTATGTCAAGCAAATCATGCCGGTTTTTTTTGCTTGCGTCTGTTCCCGATGCCGTCACTCGATCCAGCTGCGATCGGTGGTGGTTTTGTGTAAAACACTATGATCTTTTTTATCATTTTTTTCTATAAAAGTGAATCTCTGCTTGAGAATCTCCTTCATGGACGAGAAAAGTTTGTCAATTTAATATTTCATGTGGCTTAACTCTCCTATTATTTTTTCCTCAAAGGCATCCCTTTTCTTAGCCAGCATTACTTTCAAGAAAACTTACGCTCACAAAGGCAAAATTTCTACTCTTTGAAATCTCGACATCACTCTTATCGCAATTGTAACGCAAGTCAGCGATATAGCATCGTGTCAACCCCATCGTTGCTTCCCAGTAGCTCCAATCTCGATTGTATCACGAGATTCGATCACGCGACAACGAATCCTATACTCATGATCCCATCTTAGGCTTCCCAACTACAACGACTGGCAATTGTTTTCACGTGATTCAGTTAGCCACACATAGCCTTGTATGCCACAATCCCTTCTCTCACGATTGTTTCAGAAAGCTTCTTCACACCTTCATGTACGTCGCGATCACATTGTTGCCTCCCATATCTTAATCGCTATTGTATCAAGCCTATAGGTATGTCACGTCCTCAACGTTGCTTCCTCCTGTGATCCCGATTCCGACATTCCTTCTACAGCCAAAATCACGTAGTTGCTTCAGGTCATTCATGATTGTGTCGTGTCGCAATTTCTTTCTCTTCCCAAATTGAAAGCTCTGATACCAGTTTGATAGGATTCTCGATAAAAATTAGAGCAAAACAAATATTTTATTTCTCCAAAGCAAAAAGCACAACATAAACATATAAAATAAAGAATAAAGATCAACAATTCGGGAGGTGTACAATCTCTCCCAAATGCTACAATTCGACAGGTATGAAATATCTCCCAAACCCTAACCATAAGACTCACAACCACAATCTCTTGCATAACACTAACCCTAAACATATTAGCCCTAGTTATATTAATAGAAATAATAATAAAATTCTAAATTACCCTTAAGGCTAATAAATGACAAGATCACTTTTATGCACCAATGTAACAATTTCTTTCTAGTGAGAGAGAGAGAGTTAATGCAACACATCAAAAATAACTTTGATGATTTCATCTTCCCTTTATTGTTAATTTTGATATTTGTTACAATTCTTTTAATACTAAACTATTATTGTAACATAAGGCTTTAGTGGTGGTTAAGAGTTCATTGGGTTTCTTAGTGGATGATAATTTCATGAAGTCAAAATTAAACAAAGTGCATGAATGTGACCCAAGATGATGGTGCAAGCGAGGTGGTAAAAAATTTAACTTCCATGCAGGACGATTCCATCATTTATCCATGCACATCCAATATAGTCAGAGTTCAAGGATGTTAAGAGCTCCACACCCTCCCCTCCCCTCCCCTTTTTCCTTAGCTTGATTTGAAATTTGAATGACAAAACGACCATAAACTATGTAAAAACTACATCAAGGTGATCTATTGTTGAATTAAAACTTCAGAAGTTCATATTCTTTCAAGAAACTTCTTTGGTAACTTAAATCATTGGTCAAAGAATTAGGGGATTACAGCCAACCTCAATTCCTGATGAGAACAGATTTTTTTAATTTATCTTACATTTAAATTTCCAATAATCATATTCCCTTTGCACTCAAAAACCTCCAAACATAAGTTCCCGTCTATACTCCATCTCTATAATTAATATCAAGTTATACCCACTCAAGAGTGTCGCTTTCATCATACCTCCAAGACCCCAAGCTCTCACGAATTTCCCTTCATCTTCAAACTAACATTCATCACACTGAAGCATTCATGACTAACCCTAGAGCATCCCTCGAAGCATTGGCTCCTCCTTGCAACTAAAACCTTCAATGTTGTGCACTTCAATTTCAATCTTCCAAATAACTCTCCAAGTCATCTACACTCTCAACTACTTCCCATAATTCTCTCCATTGCTCACCACGCATATACCCTCCCTGCTACTGACCATGTCTCCACCATATATATCAAGTGCCATCCTTTCGACTACTCCCATCACCAAGTGGCTCCAACACAAACTCTTTTTGTTTGATGCTCTAACACAAACCAAAACCACTTTTTTGTCAAACTATAAAGACGTCTGCTAATTATAACTAGATCACCAAAAAATTTTGGCCTCCAAAGTCTAAAACTATCAAACATCTAGAATTCAAGTTTCATAGTCATCAATCTAAGATCTACATTGTTGTATAAGTTTATCATAACAAGGGCGTCAAATGTCTTGAAACAAAAGCATCTCCAAATTTGAAAATGATGTACAACAAAAGTATCACAAAAAAGAGAGAAACCACAAAACAAAAGACACCTACTAGCTTTGGCCATTCTGCTTCAACCATGCCCATGCCCATAGGAGATGAGAGATAATTCAATCAACCAAACGCACATAAGTCATGATTTTGGCATATAAATCAAGAGCACTCTCGAGCCCTTTCTCAAAATCCAAGTACACTCACAAAAATTTAAGTAAAAGCCCAAACAAACACTTACATGTAAAATGGCTCAGAAAGATACATACCATCAAAACAAATCCAACCAAAACTCTCAAGGGTGTTGCTTACCAATGCTACAAATCCTACTAACGTTGCTTCCAAAGAGCAATCAAATCTGAGACAAGCACTCCAAAAGACCTACTCCAATCCAATGCCTTCAAAAGCACACTTTGAAGCGTGATTCACGTGCAAAGCGAAGCGAAGCGAGTGATACCTACTTTGCTTCATTGAAGCACGAAGCAAAGCGGCTGTTCCGGTTCACAATTCAGCGAGAATGATTAAAGGGCAACTAAATTAATTTAGCTTATTTTATGAAACTTGAGAATTTATTAGTTCACTTATTCCTTCAAATTTAAATTTTGTTTTGAGTTAAAAGATCTTTTTTAAATTTTTAATTTTTTAAGAAATTGTTCCAAATTTTAATTTGCTAGTTCACCATCAATATTTGCTTTCAAGTTAGGCATTATACCACATTCTTCTCTATTTTATATCAACTTTTAAGTGGCATTTTCTATTTTATAATTATTAATGAAAACATTTATAAATTAATAGTTTTATATAACCTATTAGCACTTTAGTTAATAAAAGCACAGCTTGGCACTTTGAAACAAATATAAAGCTTTGCATCTCACAATGTGATTTGTGCTTTGATAACACTGCTCCAATCTCAACCATCCAATGTAATCTCATGATAGAAATATCCTAGGGTATCACATTCCAAATATTGAGTATTTTTAACCTTCAACATAATATTAATTCACTTGTTACATATTTCATTAAGAGAAAAATCATTTCATAGTTAGACTACAAATCCATAACTAGCAAGAAAACCATTATACGGGCATTATCCAATCAATAACTTACAGTATACGAGGTTCAAAAGATATATAAGTGTCAATAACATAAAAATGAAGCCAATTATCCAAAAGTAGCATTAATTCGTTTAACTAAAATAAGCACAAGTTAGAAAATGATATTATTTAAATTTCTTATTCTGTAAAGAAACATGACAATATTCAACTTTATCTTATATAGTGGTTACTCTCCTAGTTCTGCACAACCCAAGGCTGCAGCACACGTAAAATAGTGTAATAAACAAAAAGGATGAATCTCCAAGCACCATCTGTAGAATATGCAGACAATAAGTTGCTACGTCATTACAATTAGGGATTTAATTTGACCAAAGGTAGAAAATCCAGAGAATTGATCGATCATTAAATGAGTTTTTGGTTTTGATCATAACAAAATAGAAATGATCCAGCTAGTATTGCTCAACTAAGCTTAATAAAAAAAATTATGCCAAAATTGAGGCTCGTTTGCGGCAACAGCAACTACCTTTTGTAGTGCCGAACCTCTTTTCTTGCCGATAAGAAGCTTTGTTTTACAGCTCAGCTTTTATGCTGAGTAGAAATAAGCAACAAAAAGAAATTAAGTTAACCCAAGCCCGGATCAAATTAAGTAAGATTGAATCAATTAGAAATGGCTCGGATCAGGATTGAACTCAAATGAATGAACAAGGCCCAGCAAGGATCAAGGTCCAAAGAGACTAATTACATATCAAATCATGATAACTAAGGTCATTATCAAATTAGAACTTTAGAAGTCAATGCATGAATGTACGAAATGCTTCAAAATTGTGTTGGTTTTCCCTTGGATAGAATTTAGGTTTTGGTTAGCAAATCAGGTCCAGCTCCAACTGAGTTGAAACAAGCCCTTTAACAGAAAGATTGGCTTATGCCAATATCGGAACAGGTGAATATAGACTTCATCCAAAACAAGGGTTGCATCGCTGATCCTAATTATGCGAGGAAAGAAATTAAAACAGCCTAACAAAACAAACAACTAGCGATATCTGGAGACCTCTCATATACTATTTGAGAATGCAAAATTTTATAGAGGCTAATTTTAATTATAAACTTTTAGCAGGAGACAATTTTTCATTTTAGAGTGCAAAACAAACAAATCTATTCCGTGTAATAGGAAGGATAGTGATATAGAATCAATCTAATAAATATCTCAGATTTCTCAGTCAAAAAAAGACAGTTAAACAAAAAAGGTAAATACCTGGGGTTTGGATTTCCTTTAACAATTTTCTGCCCATACTTACGCCACCTGTAGCCATCACTTACATGCCCTGCAGCTGCAGTCTGCATAACAATTTTGGGTTGCTTTACTGTCCTGAAAACTGGAGTTGGGTCTGTCGCACTGCTTAAATTTAGCCTGAATCAAAATAAAGTTATAAAATTAAGTACTTTTGGCTTATTCTGAGTCATAATGAAGTTAAAGGACTATACTTGCCTTCGTTTTGGCTCTGGTTCTTGTTCTTCATGTGGATCTTCTTCAGCTCTAATACTGCCATCACCTTCACAATCACTTGAGCAAAACAACTGTTGTTCAGGGTTACCATTACTAGAATTTTGATCAACCTTAGATGTAGAAGGATCTGCTTCAGCAGGTTCAACGCCAGGAACATCAAGACCTTCAGTCACCCCAATTGCCCCACTGGATGGAAGTCCCTTCAACTTTGACAATTTAGCTCTGTGTGGCTGTTCATGGTTGTGCTGACCTCTATAAATTACTTCAGTTACTTGACCGTTTGGGCAGCGCTCAACTTTCTTCTTGGCAAAGCAATCACCGTTAGTGCACCTATAATAACTTCGAGATCTATCGGTGCTTTTAACCTGCTTTTGACCGTATTTCCGCCAGTTGTAGCCGTCGTCAGTGGTTGTCTTTGGGACAATAAGTGAAGATTGAGATTTTTGTTCAAAGGAAGATGTTTTCTCAGTCTCTGAAGCGCCAATAATTTCAGCGCAGGAGCTGAAGGCAGTCTTTGTTGAAGCGGAGAAGGGTTCAAGGGTAGCAGCATTGACTGTGGTGAAGAATTTTTCAATGATCCTGATGGGGATGGATATCCTGCTTGTAGCTGCATTTGTGCCTGAGCAGTTACCGTAGCCAACACTGCTTGATGTGACATGGAAAATTGGCCCTGCACAGGGAAAAAATAGAAACAAACATAAAAACCTTCTTCTATTCCTGAAAAGGAAGAAAACAAAATTTAACGCAATTTTAAATTTAAATTGTTATGCGTGAAAGTAGGTTGGCGGGGAAGAAAGGTACAACTTCCTACTGACAACATGAAGCGGTGAAAACATTTCTGATAGCATATCCGTGAAGAGGGGAAAAAATTAAAAAATATTGTGGACCGAGTCGTACAAGGAAACGGGCAGAGATTTTGCTGGCGATTGATTGAAGATAAATGGATCACACTCCAAGGAAATTCAAACAGAAAACATACATTTTTCCTTTGTTTGCCTCGAATCAAGCGGAGCTGTTCTTTGGAAGTGCGGTATTATAATTAATTAAATAAATGGGAACCATAAACGCTTCAAAGACTCAAAGTTCAAAGCAATTAGGGGCATAGTAATGGTTGTATTTGAAATCCGAGTAAAAAATTATAAGAAAGAAGACGCGACCATGTGATTTGACAACATGTTTTTCTCTGCAATATAATTCCCAGAAAAAAAAATGGTCAAAAGACGACACAAACTCTCACGCCAGTGCATCGGACTTAGTGGAAAGAACTGAAGAAATCAGAAAAAAAATGGAACGTTTTATACTCCTCGTAAGCCATTTCTATGAGCTCCCCGTTCATCGAGAAACATGAAAACAGTAGCCACAAAGTCCGAGGAAAGTTTTTTTTATTAATATTCAGTCTTTCTGAAAACTCAAGTTCTAATAAAGTTCGCAACCATCAAAGCACGAAACATTGAGAAAGCCCTAACAAATGTTCCAGAAGCAAGGTACCACAGAAGCATGTGCCAAAATCAATCCATCATGCATCCTACCGGACATAACAAAAACCTTGTAAAAGCTGAGAATCACAAACCGTGATGCCGTGTGACTCCAGCAGCGTAGCCGGTGCTAAATAACACGGCACGGCGACCACCGGAATCCGGGGAGCATCAATCGGCGCAAGAATTGTTGGTGGGCGAGGACTAGCCGCAGGCGATGCCATGGCTCCAGCCCACCGCCGCGAGAAC